GTACGTACTGTACATTCCTCCCATAACATTTTACATTCTAAATTTCTTCCAAACCAATGTAATAAATACTGCTGCTATATGATGACCTAAGTCTAGCCATTGGTGTACTGTATCACTGTTCAATGCTGCCCTTGAACATAATAATGTAATAAAACTTGATTTGCTGTAATACTTTGCTGGTAATGTGATTTTAAATACCCCTGCTATTTGTAGTATTATGAATTTCCCCCAAGCGAATGCCTGTTTGGATTGTATATGCGCGAATCTAAAGCGTCTAAATACATTTTCTGTGTGGAAAAAAGCCTAAGACTACATTCTGCAAGTCATTTCTGGGAATAATTATATTCTATGTCTAGATTTTTCTAGATATGCAGATGTAAAATTTAAAAAAAAACAAGGTTGAAATGTGTAAAAGGCAGGTTCATCCTAATGGTATAATTAGGTGTTTCTGTTTTGATGCCCTGTATTGTGTAGCAATTAGGCTTATTCTAATTATCCTAATTAGTCAACACTACAACAAATGTCTCCATTAACTTTTTAAAAATCTGTGAGGCCTACGATTTTGCAAGCCACCGTGAAGTCACGATCTATTCTCATTAATTAGAATTGCTTTTATTTGATGCAACTGTGATGAGGTATGGCCATGTGGCAGTGTTGTGATAAGTACAAATTGTTTAGAGAACAACGAATACTATCCTAAGTTCATGTAGGAATTTTAATGTGATCTTGTGCTAAAATAAGTATTTGTCATCCACATAAATGCACACGCACTAAACATGCATGTAACTGTAATGTTCTTGCTTCGTAATTGTGTATATAAAAAGTAAAAACTTGTTATCTTAACATCATTATAAGAACCTATGTGGTCGGTTTCATTCATCATTGCCTTGCAGCTTTAAGGGATAGCATAATTACAACAACATGATTACAACAACCTAGGAAGATGTCATAATTAAAATAACCTAGGGAGTTCATGATCATAACAACTTAGGGTAGGGTTTGTCCTCATTCATATAAAGGTTATACTTTCACGGAACCTGCTGTGAAACATTTGCATTCACTGTCATATCCCTTTTAATACTGTATTTAAAAAACAAAATCAGACTGAATTCCAAAAATGTCAGTTTGAAAATACATTTGCGTACATTGTGGCACAAGACATTTGATTAATATGAAAATGTGACTACTGTTTGTTGTAACAACAGTGTGGAGTTTGTTGATTATGTGAACTAATATACAGTACTGGATAACAGATAAGAATAGACAATTTGAGGGGTGAGGGGTGTGGGGATGTGGAATCCATAACTGTCATTGGTGAGTATACTGGATAGATATGAGCAAGAGCTTACGGTAAGTACTAACTATAGACTGTTGCCATGGACAAATATTGGTCAATGGCACTTTTGCAGAGATATAGAGAAAAGTGAGAATGTTTAATATTTCTTAATATAAATAACGATTGTGTAATTAAAGAATTATATAGGTAATAACTTAAAATAATGATGAGTATCGAAGTACCTAAATGTGCTGAAAATTTTCCCAATTAAAATTTGAGCAAAACTGCACTACTATAAATACAAATCCCAGGGTCCTGTAATGGCTCAACATTAGAAACTCCATTTTCATAGTAACACATTGAGTGTAAAAACAAGTTATTAATTGTTGAATGAGGATAAAAAAAATGATAGTTAACAGAATAACAGTAACATGTTAAGAATGACAACGTTGAGTTATTAAAACTCTATGATAATAAGAATTTCTTGTACAATACCGATAACAAAATTTGTAATAATTATTATTGTTATTGAAAATAAGTGGTTCATTAGATGGGCTAGGCTATAATAACAAAGTTTGTGATCGATTTGTAGATGTGTTATGCCTAGGTAATGGCCCAAAGCACAAATATGCTTCTAGAATCTGATTCTCCCTTTAATATAGTTTAAAAGATTAAATATAGATAGCAGTTATTAGTCTGAAAAGTACTTTTTACCTCGTTATTACAAAATTAAGCTGATAATTTAAACGAAATCCATTTAAACGATTTCTGCGATTAAAGCCATGTACTGTTTGTTTTACCATGTTTGGTCAAAAGGGTAGTAGTTACTAGGTTGCATCAATTATAGTTTAATTTGAAACATGATTATTTTTAATTTCCTGTTATCAAGTATCGGTTATTAGATCTGTTTTATTAGTAGCCGTTGTAGGGTTATCTCATCCCAATGTAGATGTTAATAAGCTCTGAACAAATATAGATTGTAATTTACATCCTCAATAAAGTTAATAAATTGTAGTTGAACTTCATTGTCACCCAAGAAACAAATTGTGATCATAAATTCTTAAAGGAATAAAAATATTTAGGTAATAGATTAAATTTTGTGGCTTGTTGTCAGGGCGGATTCAGAGATGTCTGGAAAGGGGGTGGGGACAATTGAGAGACAACACTACACAGGGGAATTTTAATTTTCTAGATGCCCGGAAATAACCTCTTAAGGTGTTTTGGGCGATCATGTATTTCTTGTTTATTCTTTTTCCCTTTTTTTTTAACTTTCCAAAAGGGGCAGGGGCTGGTCCATCTGCCTCCCCTAAATCTGCCCCTACATGTAGTAGTGAGTGCAGAGAATCAGGATTGGTTGCTGTAACCTGCAGTAAAGTGTTCTGATAACGAGTGATCAGGAGTAATTAGTGTCACAGCAATCCCTTGAACAATTCTGCATGGTAATAAGACGATGTAATTTGTGTAAATCAGGTTGTGTTTTATACAATTCCCTTATTCATTATTAAGCAACTTTGCTTCATTGGAATATTACAGTATTGCATTCATACTAATTTGGGATAATATATTAAACAGTCACTTTATTTAAGTCTCCATATCATATGAAGAACCGTCGAAAGTACTACTTTATATAAATAAATACATGCCTTTATATGCATTTTTTAACTTAAATATTGTATTTATCAATGTTTTCGTTGAGCTTATCCCTCTTTTATGATTATCCTTCTTTTTACCTAACTTCTTAAAATGGTCTACCCCTTTACAGTGGTAAATAGTGACTCATCCATCATTGGTTTTTTTTAAAACCATTTTTTGGCTGTACATATTTGATGGCCAGCAGAGGGGTGTAGTTCTTCTACACCCCTCTGCTTAACAATCAGTGCTTTGATTAAAACTGGTATACACTCATCAAACCTTCCTTCGCCTCTGTCGTGCGGTTCAGATTCTTCCACATCCAGTCCTACAGTATGTAATCTTTTTAGTCACCATTTACAGGATTCAGTGGAGTGTGATTCTCTAAATGTCAGTAGCAAATATTGTGAACTTTAGTCATGAAAAATGCTGGTAGTTTAAAATACTGCAAAGTTTTTTAATTGCACGGGTGATACCTCAAAAACTAGCTCAAATTTGCGCGGAAAATCATCGCATAATCGTAAATACTGCTTTATAATTAATACATTGTTTATTAGGTCGAATCTAATTTTCTGCAAAATCTGAGTGGGAATTGGCCCTTATTTTAAGTGCGAAGACTTCTAGGCAAAAATTTGGGCAGAAGATATCCTTCGTGCAGGCCTTTTTGGTGGGTAGTTTGTTAGATTTGAACCAAAGATCGAAGGACTGGAAGTCTGGTGACAACATCATAACTACCAAGAGAGCACCACTCCACTGTTTATTAAAATTTATTGAGAAAGTCTTATTAAGCATGAAATTTATGTAATGTTATAGTGTTCGGCTAGGCTTACAATTTGTCATGGATATTCTTTCACATTTGCATTGTTTAGCAGTGTGAAAAGAATAGAGGAAATGCCTCCCATGAGGTGCCTCAGATCATAGCATCTGACCCGGGGACCCATGCTATGATATGGTGATGAAAAATATCAGATGAAATTATTGCATATTTTGTGGTTGATAACAGGAATTATGATTTATGATTTCGGTATGGAGTTCATTCAGAGTGAACCAGACATGGCTTAATGGCCTCAAGGAGTTTTTCAGTAATAAAAGGATTATTCACCATGTGTACTGTATGGCAGATTGTAATAAAGGAATCTATGGCATTTTACAGTTGTTTTTGAGGAAGGATCATTAGCAGTTTAATTGTTTTTTGGGAGCAAGGCTTATTGTTATAAATAGTGTTTGCAGTTAACATATTTTTGTGGAAGGGGAACATTATTATAGAGGGATTTATGGCAGCATTCCTAACAATGTTTATGAGATTCATAAAATGTTTCACTTTTACCAAGCAGAAAGTGGTTCAACCATCACATGAAAGGCTTGTGATTCTCCAATGATAAATATTGTTTAGAACCCTCTTTTACTTTGGTGGATGGGGGAGAAGAGAGATACATTTTCTCCCTTTTTATGAACTTGCTGTAATTAAGTGTGAATGATACTATAATAGTACTTTGTATGTCTTAATGTTTATGGTTCATCCATTTACATAAACATTAAAACACAGAAAAAATACATGATGCCATGTAGTATTGACACAGCTGCTGTTGGTATTCTATCGCGCGGTCTTGGTGCTATTAACCGGCAGATGACCGCTGCTATTGTCATGCAGTCACCGTTCCGAGCATTGATTTAAAATACCTTGCTAACGGCAAAGTTTACGTCAACACAAATTCTACATGAATAATGTTTTATGCATAATAATGTTATTCAGAATATTCTTAACACTTTGTTTTTAGCACAACATTATTTTTCAACATGCAATACCTTGTTTAATTTTTTTAAGTATTTTCTGTAATTTCAATGGGGACCCTAATCAATCAGTATTTTATAGGTCCTAAATTAAGGGAGAGATAAGTAATTTTAATAAAAATCTCAATTCTTTGCATTCTTTGTGACCTGGAGAATAAAATAAAACTACAGTCTACATGGTCTCACAAGATTGAATCAAAGGTCTTTGGTTTCGAAGGAAATCTTATCTTCACTACCAGCCAATGTGTGGCGTAGCTATAATTCAATTTTACGATTTGTTTTTATTTTTTTTCTTTTAACACTACAGATAGCATAGACATAGACTTCAAAATCGATAGTGCGTTATTACTTGACGAGAATGAGAACGAAGTTCTACCGGAATTTGGAAGTGGAGCCGAGTACAGTGGCGATGACGAGGATAGCAGCGGTAGTGGAGATGGCGATGAAGAACGTGACACAACTCCTGTTGCAACTAATGATCCGTGTGCGGGGATTGCATGCCAGAATGGTGGCCTTTGTCTACGAGAATCGCAAAATTTCAGATGTCAATGTCCACTTGGAACATTTGGTGACTTGTGTGAAGAAAGTAAGTAGATGTTGATTTCCCACCATGCAATTTGTCCCACTGTGCATCTGAGTACTGGTATGTACCAGGTCAGAAATGTGGTCACCTGATCATCTTCCTTATGAACACATGCAAAGTATTTTCCCTCATGTGATACCAGTTTTTGGCAGTGAATTTCATATATGTTAAAGATATTTTATATTAACACCTAATAATAATTTATCTTGTAAAATCATTTGGGTCCTTGATGCTCAATACAGTGTCCTAACCAAACCTATGAATGAGTTGTCAGTTGACTGGAACCAAATGTTTGGGGAGAGGGGCGAGTTGATAGTTTGGGAATCTGGGTGCTCAAAATTCAGGTCGTTTAAAAAAAGCCTAAAGAGCAGAGTTGTTAGTTATAAACTCTAAGACTATGCGATTTGAATTTTATCACCAATGTAAAGTATCAAATTTAGTAGACATATGCATTACCTTAATTTGTATAGTATATCTTTTGATTAGTAGAGAATTTGGCATGCTACTTTTCATTTGAAAATTATGTTCATGATACATAAATTGTAGGGAACTTTGATAATTGGTATTTTTATTGGCTAATGTTTTGTTGGATTGCTGTTACATTGCACATCCAATGATAAACTTGACAGCAATATCAGACTAGTAAAGCCAACCACTTACTGCTCCTGTCAGTCATCGGCCAACGCGATTCCTCAACAACGCAACGCGGCGATGTGTGGGAACAAAGCGTTTTTAATGACGATCCATTCAGACAGCCACCGACAATCAGCAAACGGTGTCGCGTGATCTAGCGCGTACATGGAGCAAAGTTTGAATCGTCGGCCGACAGTCGTACGAAGCAGTGAATGCCTTGCTTTAATTTAAAAAATGAGTTGTATGCTGCCAGCTTCTGGGATAGCTTAATACAAAGTTTTTATTGATAAGGTACAATGCTAAGAGACCTCACTGGAGAAGAACAAAGCTGAATACAAAGTTTTTGGTATTGGCTTACAATATGAATGATTTTTAACCACCTATTTTGACTAATAAGTGATTGCTGTTATAGCTATCCATCCATCCTTATCTATCAGTCTATCTACTCTCATATCTATTGATCCGTCCATTTATTTCACTACAGTTCACCCTCCAATTCGAGACCACTTTGTGACCTGAACATTTGTGGTGGTCTCATGGTTCGGTCTCCATTAGAGGATTAGCTTTGTGTTAAAAGATTGAAGATTGGTTCTTTGAAAAAGTGGTCTCAAATTAGAGGGTCTCGGAATAAGAGGTTATCTATGTATTCATTAATTATCTGTTAGTCTGTCACTAATCACTAATGATTCACTAATTCTTTAATTCTTTCATCAAACTATATAAATTCTGTCATGTGTCATCTATTAATTTTCTATTTAATTAATCCTTAACTTTATGTTTGACTTTATTAAATAATTCTTTGTTTCCCTTATACAGATATTGATGTGTTATATCCAAAATTCTATGGTCACTCCTACATGTACTTTAAGAAGCCTACAAGCGTAAACATGTACAACGCCTTCGAAATGACGGTCAAATTCAAATCAATAGACCGTGACGGCATCCTTGTCTTCGGCAGTCAAATGGAGTCGCCAAGAGGAGATTTCTTTTCCCTTGAGCTTCGAGATGGCAGGGTTGAATTCAGGTTGGAAATAATTTTACTAGTTGCTAAAAGAAATCAAATTTATATTGAATACTAAGAAGATTAATTATTAAGCTGATAGGTTTTTTACTCAAATGCAAATTGCCAATTGAGTCTCATTTGAAAGACTATCTTAAGCTGAGACAGACGGTCTGTGTAAAATAATAAGGTTTATAGGACAAAGTTGTGTGATTTGCCCATATACTGTATGGGTATAATGATATCATGTCGCACCCATGGGCCTGATGATGTCATATTGCATTATGGGCAAATCTGTGGTATTTGTCACCTAAAACTTAATTGTATAGAATAGCTATTACCATCAAATAGAAAATTACATTATTAAATGAAATTGCTTATTTTGTATACTTTTATAAGCTATTAGCCTTTAACCATGAAATTAATTTTCCTCACCATTTTAATGTTTAAATAACACAGTCTTTGCTTACCCTAAAAAATATTAAATTTATTCTTCTTTTTTTTTCATTTTATTTTAAATTTTTTCATTTTTTCCTTCATTTTTTTGGTGGAAAATATTTGCAAATAGTTACACCCTGCACAGTAGGATGTAGAGTCTATAACCACAAATTTCAGAATGAGTCAAACTCAAACACATAATTTCTATTGTTCTGTTATTTTAGTGTTTATGGTGATAAATGACATGATTAAACTTTGTGGAGACAGGTTATGTACTGCACCATGTTATACCCATTGATAATAAATAATGTTTATGATGATTAAACCTTTTTTTTTGACTGCCATCAGATTTAGCCTCGGACTGCCAGAAGAGAAGATTACAAGTAAAATTGAGGTGGAAATGATGAAATGGCACACAGTCACAATTAACAGAGACAATAACGTCGCGACTATGGTTATTGATGGCGGAGACAGACTCACTGCTGTTGCCGAGGTGGGTATTACCACGCTAAGTATAACTCATGGCTAGTTTGAATATTTTTTGAGTGTTCGAATACATAATCAACATGCGGTGTTGGAAACTCTGAATCATCCACTTGTTAGTGATGTGAATGCCTTATATAGGTATATTTTTAATAGTTTGTAGTGATCTAGAGATCATGTCTTGAATGTTGATGAATAAGATTCCTAAAGAAATGAAAGAAAAATAAAAAAATGGATGTGATTTTTGTTGATAGTAAATCCTTGCCAAGCCACTAGGACTCTGGGTCGGGGGTGGGAGGGGGGAGCTTTTCCCCAGTTTCCGTAGTATGAAGCAGATGAGAGTGTAATATCCCCCTGGGTGGGACGCTGGTCCACTGCAGGGATTTTTGTCTTACGTCTATCCAAACAAATATTACGACAAATAGATGTGATGTGCCCATATTTGGGTGTACTATGACATAATCATACCCATATATGGGCACATCACACAAATTTGTCAAATAAAATTTTAATAGTGTAGACACAGCATTAGTTTGCATTGTGGATGGGCTTTCATTAGCGTATGCTGTGTATTGTAAATGCAACCTAAATTATTTATTTTATTCAAATATTTTTGTTTAAGCCATGCTCAATAACATATAGTTTGTGTTGTGATAATTAGCCTAAACCAGACTTTACATTTCAATATTTGAATGGTACACACATAAGTTGATAGCTTTTATGTTACTTCAAAATGGGCAAGTAAATTTAAAAAATTATTTTTATGATTTTTTTTGGGTATTTCGCAAGGGACAATACATCTTTAAGAGACCTTTGGATTGCCTTGTATTTGATTTCTTTTTTGGAGGTATTTTTAAAATTTCACCACATAGGATGTCTGATGATCAAAAGCAGAAACATAACCAAAATCTTTAAAAAAATAATCTATAGTTTCAAGCATATCTGAGCAAACAATTGTGATGACATTCATTGCTTCTCGTTTTTGTAACTTGAATAATGACATCTGAAAACATCCTCTTTAGGGTACGTACCAAAAGATGTCGCTGAATCAGATGATATACATCGGCGGTCATACTGTCGATGCATACCATAAAAACCAGGGCAAAGGTTTTACCGGCTGTATTGAGGAATTAAAGATCAACGATTACATATTTGACATGAGGCAGCAACCGTTGGGTGATGCAATCGATGGAATTGATGTTGGTATGTTGTCATAATTATTTGAAATTTCTGAATTCTTTATTTAAAATTTTTTTAAATGTTATATATCTAATTATATTACATGAATTTTGTAGAGTGCTTTGCTCGATAGTGATTTAGTTCAGATCTGGGCAGAACATATCCATATCTCATCCATTTCAATCAAAGTGTAATGTAAAATATGTAAATTAATAATAATATAATGTAATATAAGATAACATGCAAATTAATTATATGCATCTCATTAATTTACGTTTTACATAAATTAATGAGATGCACATTGGTCAACTTTAATTTACATAATTCCACCTGGTTTAGCAGAATCAGTAGCAAGTTATTATACTGCATGTGATTAGTATAAATTATTTCCTATTCCCTCCAAAACAGGAGAGTGCACCAGTGGACTGTGTATTGAAGACGCCTGCCTGAATGGTGGATCTTGTGTAGTGACATCAGCAAATAATTATCAGTGTATTTGTCAGCTTGGCTTTGCCGGTGTCTCATGCGAAATTGGTAAGTCCCTCCTCAGTCAACATTCCAATAAGGGACCTCTGCGAAGTGTCAATCAAACTTAACTGACCAATCAGAACTGGGCCTATAATTTTGTGGGATTTTAGCAACAATATCCTATGGGCGGGGCTTAGCAAAAAGGTGCATTGGCCACTTTGTTCTGCTAATATTATGTACTTGCTAGCTGTCTGTCAATTATGTTCAGAAAAAAAATGGAATGGGAAATTGAATTATTGAATAGAAAATTGATTACTTGGCTTGGAAGGTGGTACTTCAGTGTTGAGACTTAAATCTCTTACTTGTGGGACGAGATGATGCCTTAACTTAGATCTGTGACTTGAGGGTTAAGATGATTGCCTTAACTTTTATCTAAGACTTGAGGGTTAAAATGTTTGCCTTAACTTAGATCTGTGACTTGAGGGTTAAAATGATTGCCTTAACTTAGATCTGTGACTTGAGGATTAAGATGATCATAATCATCATATTACCCTCAGGTCACAACTTGGATAGAAGCTGTAACCTGAGGGTTAAAGATAATTCTTTGGCTTGACAACTGGAGGGTAAAGTTTTGAAATGAGGTTATTTCCAAAAAATAGTAAATACACTGTGAAACTCTATTCCACAGAATCACTCCCTCAAATACTTTGTTTCTAGCAAAGTAGAATTAAATATATAAACATAATTTAATAACTATTGTTTTTTTTTTTGCACCAATTAGAAATTAATTTGGTAGTGCCGTCCTTTGAAGGCTACTCATATTTGGCATTTGATGGGCTTAACAAAAATCACTTGACATTCTTTGAATTATCCATGATCGTGAAACCACACAAATATGATGGTGTCCTTGCCTACTGCGCCCAGAGTTCAGACGGGAAAGGTGACTTCCTTTCGTTAAATTTAGTTGGTGGTTATGTGGAGTTCAGATTCGATTGCGGATCTGGTCCAGCTGTGCTAAGGTAAGATAATGATATTGATATGATAAAATAATTAAAATATTATTACGAATAATAGTAATAGTTGTAGTAATATGGAAGTTTTGCTATCTTAAGCTTGGTTTCCATAAAATCGCTACACGCTATCTCTAACAGCTTTCGGTGATACTTTACAAAAATGATGAAATATGAGCATCTCCTTTGGTTTGTTATTAATGCATTGCAAACAAACTTGCCTAGTACCGGTTAAGTCAAATGTCCGAGAGGTATGACGTGAGGCGCTGCTAACTACGACCCATTGCATCTTTTAAAAGAGCCAAGAACAAGTGTGTGATTAGAGGTCAGATAAGTTGAACATACATTTTTGAATAATTTCATTTCACAATTTAGATCATCTGAGAAATTGGAGCTTAACAAGTGGAATTCGGTGGGGATTTCTCGTACAGGGCGTGATGCTGTCCTAATGGTCAACGATGTGGCTGAAGTTAAAGGAATGTCCCCCGGCGGCTTCTCACAAACTACATTTAATACGGACCTGTTCATTGGTGGTGTACCAAATTATGAAAATGTCGCCAGCAAAGCATTACTGACTGTCGGGCTCGTTGGAGACATTCAAAGGGTACTATGAATACAACCTTTCTTGGCAGTTTAAGGGGACTACTACTTATTATTTTTGCAATTTTACAATTTGAAATATTTCGCAGCATTTTGTTTTCGCAATTTTGCAATTTTCAGTGGTTTTTTTAACATGAATGCAGAAACCTGCAATTATGTTTTTTAGTCTATATTTTAGCTAGAGCTCCCAATTCTTGTGATTTTTTTTTTATTTTTTAAGCAAACTCCTACCCACCCGAGTTTTCAAGATTTTTGCACGCCCTTAATTTTAGCGATCATTGTCTTATCGCAAAAAATTAAGGTGCGTGAAAATTTAAAGGGCTTTACAGTATTTATCCAATTTGAAATCACATTTATTTAGTTATTCGTTCATTGTGCTTTGCATTTAACATTTACAAAAGAAGCAGTCAAGATACTTTGTATTTACAAAATGTCAATGAATTGACAAAGAATAAAATATACATAGAGATTTCTCCATGAGAAACAATCCATACATCAAGTTTGATACTTAACTGAGGATATCAACAAGAGGAAAAGCTATACACTATCCAATTTAACAGAATTTGTGTTAGTTAAGAGTACAGCTCGATTAAGATTTTTTAATTATTAAGTGCCATACATGAAACTTTCACGAACAATTTAAATAACAAGAACAACAACAATAACAACAATAAAAATATAAATATTTCAACAATTAGAATAGGTTCATTGTAGTTGTCATCCACTCCCCAAACCATAGGGAGAGAGCCCTGATCTTGGCAAACTAGACATGGGGTATTCAAATTCAAATTCAAAATTTATTAACCTCACTCGGGAGCGTGTGCAATCAATGACATCACAAAAATACATTAAGATGGTTTTAAAAAATTAATAATACTATCAATCTCATTTGAAAATGATAAAAACTTAACGCTGTCACAAAGTATTCATTACTCCATGGCAAGTCAAATGCCTGAGCATTTAAGGCAGGGGCGCCGAACTTACAGCTATATCGGCACTGGCTCGAGTGGCACGGTTGCATATGGCTCTGGTGGTGGAACAAGTTTTGTATAAGGGACTATAAACCTGGTATATCTTTCTAGATGTGCAGGGAATACTCCAGTATACTACATCATACAATCCCTTAGCCCCTGTTGTGGACATTTTCTGCTTATATGTAAGATATATATATCTCTTTATATAGCAACACATTCATTTAGAAATACTGTAAATGTTTTCCCTATTTTTTCTTAAACCTTTTAGTTGAAAGTGGACGGTTTCCCAGTTGACTTAATACAAGACGCCCTCTATGGTATTGGAATCATCAATGCCAATCATCATTGCAACTCTCTGCCATGTGAAAACAACGCAGAGTGTCAGGCAGATTTTGATGACCATATTTGTCATTGCCACATTGGATATTACGGAGAAAACTGTGAAAATGGTAACATTTTAATAGTATTTTCATTATAAACAACTGCTTTGTTTTTTTAATTTAAAATCAAAATAAAAATAGTATTTAAAATTTTATCATCATAAAATTAATATAGGTAAACCATATGAGTAATAATTACCACCGACATTACTACCACCAATGCGCATGGCCATCACCATCATTATCATAATCATCATCATTATCATAATCATCATCATTTTTGCCACCACCATCATCATAATCATCTTCATCACCATCAACTTCATTAACATTATTGTTGCTTCTGTACTTAAAAGCCTTCATTGGTTGCCTATCCATCTCAGGTCAAAATTCAAGATTCCAGTTTCTTGTTTATAAGGCAATGATTCATGGTTCTCCAGAATATCCTGCTCACATTCTTAATCATTACCAGCCCGTGCAGCAAGGTGTTAGGTCCGCTGACAAGTGCCTCTTATCTACCCCTATGTGTAAGAACCTTTGGGGTGCTCGCTCATTTTCTGTGGCTGGTCCGTCTTCTTGTTATGGAATCCCACTTACCACCACTCAAGAATCAGTTGGGCATTTCAAATCTGAACTTAAAACTTTTCGTTCATTGTCCTCTTCTTTCGTTTTTTCGTTTGGATTACGGTACTTGAGTTGTTATTTTGAGGCAGCAACACAGCGAGCATCTCTTCCCTACGGAAAGATATGTGCGCCATATAAATCTCTGATTGATTGATTGCTTGCTTTTATTTATTTTGTAGAGCATGATACCAGGATTGATGTTCCAATGTTTAATGGAATAAGCTACTTAAAATTCACCGGGAACCAGATTCGAAGGTAAGCTTCCTGCACGTTGACAAGAGGAAAACCCCTCAAAATTGTCAACATATCACGTACTAAGCGCTTATAACACTCAAGGCTCTCAATATATGCAGAAGCAGAATCAAAATTGGCGTTCATCCGTCAGTGCTTGCTTTAAATGTTACACCTTGAGCTGGATTGGACTCATTGGAGTCATTAAGGATGTGAGACCAAGTCCAACCAATGCATATCATTAGAAACCGCTTTCACTTCTTGCTTCTTACGGCTCAAACTGTATACAAGGTGCTGCACCGCTCAATGTGTTGCGCCACTCTCCTGAAAATATGCCATTTTTAGTGTCATGAATGAAAGCTCTAGTGAATAATAATTTTAACTATGTATTTATACTTTTTTTTTTAGCGAAGAGCCATATTCAAGGCATCAATTAATACCTCGACGCCTCCTCAACAAAAAAAGGTAATTTTTAAAATAAATAGATAAATAGGTAAATAGATATAAAGATATAACATAAAATCGTTGATTCATGATGCCAGAAGTTAGTTATTGATATTCCTCTTAAAGAGTTTTATGTGAGAGCAAACCATTCATGTGTGAAGGATTTTACTTTACCACTGCCATTGGAAAGCTCTTTTCAAATTCCTTGGTTCTGTATCAAGGCAAGTTGGATGGCCAAGCAGTTAAGGCAGGGGCGCAGCCATGATATCTGTGCTGGTTCAAACGGCACGCTCGCCTATGGTTCTGGTGGTGCAACAAGTCTTCTCAGATAAGAACTATAAACTGTAGGCGCAGTGTACACAATTTTCCTCATGTGGACTTAAAAGAACCAGTACATCTTTCGTGACACATAGGGGGTGCACCGGTGTACTGGTCCATACATCCCCTGTTGTGGACAGACGAGAGTAGCTGGTACCGGTTTACCGGGTAGCTCAGACATGAAGAGACCCTTAGGGGAGAAGGAAGTTACTGTACGAGCTAGTCCACACCTAGTGCTTTGAGACCTCTGTATAAATTGAAGTAAATTACACTACATTAATATTAGCCTGTATGAAGGCAGAGAGTCTGAATTAAGGCTAACCGTCATGTGAGTTAAAACAGAGAGTCTGGTATTAAGGCTAACCGTCATGTGAGTTAAAACAGAGGGTCTGGTATTAAGGCTAACTGTCATGTGAGATAAGCAGAGAGTCTGGTATTAAGGCTAACCGTCATGTGAGTTAAAGCAGAGAGTCTGGTATTAAGGCTAACCATCATGTGAGTTAAAGCAGAGAGTCTGGTATTAAGGCTAGCCGTCATGTGAGTTAAAGCAGAGAGTCTGGTATTAAGACTAGCCATCATGTGAGTTAAAGCAGAGTCTGGTATTAACGCTAAAAGTCATGTAAGCATGCGAGCTAGGGCAGAGGGCTAAACATCTTTGATGACTACTTTCAGATTGACTGGCTCTTTTACTGAATTATCATTGGATTTTCGCACAGAAGCCACTGAAGGTTTGATGCTCTGGACTGGAAAGGCTGTGACTTTTTCTAGCGATTTCATGGGAATTGGCATAAACAATGGTGTCCTTACAATCAGGTAAAATGAAAAATAGGTTCTAACATTTAAATACCCATAAATGTAAAGCGAGATTTGTATATTGTACACAAAATTACAGTGAGTTACAATGATGAATATATGAGGTTTTTAATTTTATTACAATAAGTTACAGTAATGTATATTCATGAGCCTTGCTCATTTTCTTAGTTACATGAAGTTTGTTTCTTTTCATAGTTATTAATAATCATAATATTTTTGTAATTAAATAATGACTTGGTAGGACTTAAGAGAAATACTGAATGCACTCATTCATTCATGAAATTATTTAACTTAATTGCAATGATAAATATTCATTAGGTTTGTTTATTATTTTAGTTATAATGATGAATAATCATGAGAATTTCGTTTTTATATATGTATTCATTTTTGTTAGTAATATGAATATTCATTAAGTTTTCTTAGTTACAACAAAGAGTATAAATAGAACAAGAGAGCAAAAACGTCACGCCTGTGTAGGACGCCCACTAACAGTTGTATGTTCTTTTTATTACCCCAGTGCAGCGCTGCGCAGCGCGGTAGAAGTACGCCCACTATAAACTCCGTAAGCGGAAAACAAAAGTACAGTATCTTGTGGAGAACAGATAAACAGACAAACCTACCGTGCGCGGTGGAGTACTGGGTAATAAAAAGCATACAAGCGTTAGTTGGCGTCCTACACTAGCTGCGTAGGGCGTATCGTTTTTTTTACGCTCTCAATGAGCGTTGTTGGCTCTCTTGTTCTATTTATACTCTTTGGTTATAACAATGAATATTCATGAGATTTGTTCATTTTGCTTGTTAGTGATATATGCAGTATTTATTTGTCTCATTTATTCACTCTTGTTAGTAATATGAATATTCATTTTTTTTTCTAGCTACAACCTCGGCAGTGGTGTAACAATGCTTAGAGACAACAGCACCGTGAACGATGGCAAATGGCATACGTTAGCAGTCAGTCGTGTCAACAGAGAGACCACTCTCACTCTGGACACGAACAAAATAGTAAAAACTGTGTCCAGGGGCTCATTGTCAAAGCTAGACACTAACAACGGAATGTTTATAGGTAACCTATACAAAACATCACAAATTATCAACTCTGTTACCACAGAGTCCAAGCATGACATAATATTTTCCCCTATGAGATACGCCAGGCCCCCAGTGTACAATCTTCTAAAAACACACCTTTTCCCTAAAGAGTAGTTTTTATAATTGTTGTTATCTATACTTAAGTGATCTTTCTTATACAATTGTTGTTGTTATTGTTATTTCTAATTGGAAATTTGATTAATGTAGTAATTTGTATTTGCCATTTTTATTGATTGATTTTTTTATTGTACTTAGTTTTATCTTTGTAAAATAGGTTTTATTGTACAGCGCTTTGATATGTTTTGTAATGGTATATATGCTTTTTAATAAAAAAAAAAATAATAATATTAACATAATTTTTTATGGTTCCCTCGAAACCCGGTGATAACACATTTTCATTTGTGAAGCCTCAAACTTACAAATAGCGCTGGAGTTATTCTTGTTTTTCTTGTTTTTTCAGGTGGCATGAATAATATTGAGGTAACTACCGGAAATCGTTACCACACTGGATTCAAAGGATGTATCCGTAACGTTAAATTTGGAGGCAAGTCCAGCCCTTTGCCCATACAATTAGTCGGCGGTGCAGAGTCAGGCCGGAATATCCATCATTGTACCTAATTACAATCCCATTCACCGCCTCAGAGCAAAGTATCTAAAAACAAGTTTTTTAAATATTGGATCCTGTGGCTAATTCAAAATTTCTTGCGTTGCCATGGATACAATTGGACTGTAAATGACAGGGCGTGAAAGCAATTTACCAGGTTCCAATTTGGAATAATTGTATATTTTTTACTCTATGGTTTTAATTAAGAAATTTAAATAGGAATTGAAGTGGAGTATAAACAGAAATATGAGGTTTTTAGACGACAATAATAAGAACTGCACTGTCCTGGATTCTGTGGAATTACAAGCTAATGCCAAAGTACACGTAATTGATAGCCGATCTTGCTGATACCGATTCAGGAATTAACAAGCGTGGGAAATTAATGAACAATCAGAGTGTATGTGTGATTCGAACATTCCATTTTAAGCCATACTGAGAAAATAAATACGTACATACACACTGACAAACATACAGTTGTACAGACACATGCATACATTACACATAATTATATATTCCTTCATATACCAGAATACAGTATATAAAAGATATTAACTTTTGGTATGTTTGTTCAAGATACAGATCATTCATTGCATCAGAACGAGAAAAGTTGACTATATTAGTGGCTATCCTGTGTGAATTCATGGTTAATTCAACTACAAATTATTAATGTATAGTGTGAACAGAGTCTATAGGAATAAAGCCCTGTGTGAACAGGGTTTATAGGAATGAAGCCCTGTGTGAACAGAGTCTATAGGAATAAAGCCCTGTGTGAACATTACATCAGTTGTCAGCCTTCAAACAGCATACTGTGACTAGAAGGTACAACTTTTTTTAAGGATTTAGATAATTTATAGTTGGAATCCAGAAAAGTGTTTAGTTCACATCAGAACTAAATAAATTTAAATTTAACCCGGCATCATGCTGTTTGAGCAACCTTGGTGACCTTCGACACCACCTGTCAATCATGAACATGAATTAAAGATATTGTAAAGTTGTACAAGAAGAAATCCGTAAGAAAATTAATTAAACATGCACTCCTGAAATTGTATATGTAATGTAGTAGTAGTACTCGGTGATTTATCCCTGTAAACAAATGTAAATCTGTATATAATGCTGAAACACTATAGAGGTGAAGCGATGACCAATTTTACTTGTGTGTCTAATAAAAAAAATTATAAAAATGTAAACTGCTATGGTTAGTTTAAACAAAAAAAATATATAAAATGCATATTTTTGCTCACATGGTAAAGGAACATAATAGGTACAGTAGTATATTGCATAAAATCTGTAGTAAATGGTGCTCTAAAATGGGATGTAAAATGTAAATTTGCTGTTGAAAATGTACCAAATATTGCAGTCCTTCCAGCATGTATTTTGATTTAAAAAAGATTGACAGCTTTAAATTTGAAAAAAAAACATTGAAAGATGAGAAGAAAAATTTTAATTTTGAACTGGAACCCAATCACTGTTATTAAAGATTGGTATATACCTGTATAATACTAGTGAAAAGTTTTAGAAAGTGTCCACAATCTACCCTCAGGATAGCACTGTCAATCAAAGATATGGTAATGTAGTAAACAAGGTATTCAACTATTAAGGTTTAGTTATGTAAAAGTTGATGTGAATTTAAACAGCAAACATAAGTTAAAATGTAGTAGTAATTGTTACAAGAAAAGTTATATTTTATAAATGTTAACTGGCTTGGTGCTGTTATGTTTTCAGCAATACTCTTTTTTATTAGCATTTCTAATTTTAGATGTTCTGTCAAATGTTAGCACCACTAAAACTTTTCAAGATGGTGTCTGAGTTCTGTAACTTTTTATAAAAAATGTGTTTTATTAATTTGGCTACAATACACTTAATATTTTTTGTTGTTACAGAAATATTTATTAATTATTTAAATTAATTAAACAGATAATTTCAATGATTGCATTGGTTTTTGGCACTGATCATATTATGTGCTAATAATTTTGAAAAAAAAACAATGAATAATTTTTCCAAATAAACCTTGTAAAAAGGTAAATATACAAAATTTGATATCATACTTATACAGTAATTGTATTTTGAAAAACTTATATTTCACCGTTGGAATATTTTGTGAAAAAAAAACAAGTTTTAAAAATATTGTTAAAATTTCACATAACTTTTTATCAAGAATTTGTTTGTTTACTTTTAAAAAGATCATTCATTTGTTGATATGAAAAGTTTGGTGCTTAGCCCTTTTGTTTGTATAATTTCACCCAGCAGTTTTAAATGTTGACATTTTTTCCATTGTTAGTGTTATTTTTGTCTGACTTCTGTCAGAAAATGTTGAAGAGCTTTTTGATGTCATAATCCACGATATATATTGCATTATAATAGTCCCACCCTAGATTTTGTACTAAAGCTTACATGTATTAAAGGTGTTATGCTACGCTCATTGTCATCTGTGTTTTTTTTTTTTGTAGGGAAGTGTGGTGGATTCAATGGGCCTGCCCCTCCAACACTAAATTTTTCCAAATAAAAAAGTTATAAGCATGAGGAAACTTCACCATTTACCAAATTTTACTATTTTGAACCAGGTTTTGCTGATCTCTTCTTATCTCTATAATTACTGCTTCAGGGAATTTTGTAACAAGATTAACAGTGAAGCTCATTAGTTGTGAATAGTTCATAAGAAGTCTAGCACAATTAAATCAAAAACCATGTTGTAACTTCCAACATAAGTCATTGATTTTTAAAATTCAAAAGCATATCTATTATGATTTTTATCTGAAATTATAGCTAAGGTAATAAAAATGCCAAATTATTTTGAACAACAGGTTTTTAAAATTTTCCAGCATGGTTTTTAAATACCATACTGGTAATTTATTGAGAAACAGCAATGCCTGCTGTGATAATGACTCTTAAGTAGAGGTATTCTTCTTTGATGTTTAATTGGATTATTGAGATAAGATTCTAGCAAAACCTGGTTCACCAACCCGCCTGAATGCCCTTTTAAAGGGTTTGCTGGTAAATGGGATAGTAACAGCATGCATGAGAGCAACTTAGCTCAGTCGGCTAATCTGGTGGTAGCCACTGCGTGTGCAATGAACCGTGGATCTCCAGGTCCCTGGTTTAATTCCCATCGCTGCCTCTCCTTGTGTTTCAGCTGGAGGGTTGAATGCAAGTTAACGATTGTGCACCGTCTTTCAGATGAGATGTTTAAGCCGTTGGTCCCGTGTGTATTATGGCCTATGTGCGCGTTAAAGAACTCGGTACACTCTTCGGAAAAGAGTAGGGGATTGTCTCCCGGTGTACTTCGCAATCACCATTAGAAGGACCCCACTGGAAATAAGTCTTCTTCAGACCTGTGGGTTATTTTTGGTGTTGTACACCGAATAAATCCATCCGAGTGTGGCATAATCATAAATTTTCTAGACCCTCCATCTATGAAAAGGCTGGGGGTATGTGGTTAAAGAGGTGCTGATGTGTAGAAATTATAAGCTGCTAAATCCATGAAGTTTAAAACCTCGAGTGGGTTCTGAGTGGTTTTTGTATGTATTGCTAATCTTGAACATTGGTCGTATTCGACTGGTCGTTCTTCGTTAAAGCACGCCCACCTACTTAACGAAGACGACCAGTCGTATAGAAAACTAAAATACTCAACAAAACAAAATGGCTGCATAGTTACCGCGATACACGCTGCGTAATCAAGGCTGCTTTGGATTGTGGCAGTATGGGTTTTTCGTAAAAATAATGTTTTCATCCAGTTTTTGTACAATTATTTTTTTACTTCATTGTGGATAAATATAATAATTTTTATTTCCTGAAATTTAATCTAAATTATATTATGCTAAACTGACCAATCGGCCATATTTTTTTTGGTCACGTGCATAATTTAACGTTGATTAACGCATTGTGGTTACATTAATTTTCATTGTTAACAAAATCTATTTTATGAACCAGTCAAATGAAAATAATACTCAACGAAAATTTGTACTCAACGAAATGAACCAACGAATAAGGCCATTGACATAAACTTGTCTTCAGCAAATCTGCTGCCACCATGCTGTCAATTAATATTGAGTGAGTTGTTTTGAAGTGCTAGAATGTGGATTACAAGATGATAAGCACACATCTAGCTTACATCAGGTGTACTGGATAAAACATCAAGCAGTTTTAACCTCCTTTTATTCATCAATACTGTACTTAGCCTGTCATATGCACTTATGCATTTGCTGTCAAGCATGTTGCTAAAGGCTTAAACATTCTATAAATTTACAATTTATCAAGCCTTCCTGTTAACTATGTCATTGCTATATAACTCCAATATCATGTGTCCTTTTCTACTCAAAATTACTAAAATCGGTACATGATCGAAATATATATTTTTATATTTTTAACTCATTACCATTAAATAGTTATGTAAAAAGGCATTGAGGCTTCTGTATAATGCACTAAGTCGATTTAATATTTATATATTTATTCTTGTACAACAAAGTTATTGTACTGAAATTTTCTGTACTTTGGTACCCAC